GAGTCCCCCTTCCTCTCCTTCATCCTTCTCTCTTACCTGTGGCTGAGTCTCTTGGTTATGGGTTCTTAACATTCCTTGCTTCAAATGACTATGTCCCCTGTTTTCATCTTCTGTCTACCCAATTTTGGAAAGTGAGATAAAAGAAAAATACATACCCTAAGGAGAGACCCAAGGAGGAAATAAATAGAAGAAGTAAATAGAGCCATAATTCTCAGGTCTAGAAAAGCAAGTTACTCAGAGTAATTCACACATCATGGAGAGACCAATTAGAACCATTAGCAAGTTGTTAGCGCTGACTTTAATCTATCTGCTCTGATTTTGCCCCCATCATTCTGTAGGAGCTGTGTGGTGTCTTTAGGATTAACCAGTATAAAGAAAATACACAAACAACTCTCAACCCACAACTATGTATTGGGTGCTTTACCTGTGTGCGCATTGTGGTACCCCCACGGGAAGAAGATTTGGACACACACACACACACACACACACAAATATCTAGTTTCAAGTCTTGATGGTGGAGCTAACATAAAAGATATGGCAGGTCCCTGGCAGTGTAAGGCAGTGAAATTTCAGCAAGGGTGGAAGACTCCAAAAGTTCAGGAACTCCACGCTGGGTTGCTCGGATAGCACATTTCAGAGTAGTATTTATTTTCGGATATTTATCTGTCTTTGAATAATCCTTCCAAAGCTACTTTTAACTTGATTATTTTAAAATATCAACCTGATTGGAACTTTTTAAAATAAATCACATAAAATGAATTCATGTGGATTTATACGAGAAGTTATAAGAGGCATGCATATAGCTTTTACTATTTTTATATGTACAGCTTTTACTATTCTTTTTTTCAATCAACTTGCATTTCCCCTTGGTTTCCTTTTTATAGTCAATGGTAAAGGGAACCCATATGTCTTAGTCAGCTTGGGCTGCTATAACAAAATAGCGCAGACTGGGTGACTTAAACAACAGACGTTTCTCTCTCATAGTTCTGGAGGTTGGAAGTTGTGATCAGGGTGCCAGCATGGTCAGGTTCTTAGTGAGAGCTCTTTTCCTGCCTTGGAGATGGTGTGTTGGGAGGGGGACAGGGAGTTGAGGGTCGGGGAGTGTTGGGAGGTGGGGAGGCGTGGGGGTGGAGAAGGCAAGGGTGAAGGAGTGGTCAGGATTGGGGTTTGGGGAGAGCTCCCTACTCTCTTCTCATAAGGGTACTAATCTCATTGAGGACCCCACCCTCATGACTTCATCTCCCAAAGGCCCTACTTCCCAATACCATCCACTTTGGGACTTAGGGCTTCAACATATGAACTTGGCGGGATACCAACCTTCAATCCATAATACTCTACTTAAAAATAAGAACAAAGGATTCACACTTACGTGTTATGAATGATCCTATAGAGCTAAGCATTTATAAGTTAAAATTTTAAGGATAAAAGAAAATTCGTCATGATAGAAATGCTTTTGAAGATTAAAATTTAAACTTTACTGACCAAAACCAGATATCACTTTTAAAAATTATACTTAGAGTGTTTGAAGTTATGGAATTAAGAGATTCTGGTAGCGTGGAAGGGCAAAGAGGAGATGGTTTTATTACTTGTGAAGGGGAGAGGATCATCTTTCATTCTTCTTATATTAGTCTGTTTATAGTCATTTAATAATGATGAATAGCCAGAGAGGTTATTCCGTGATAAAATGTCTAGTAGATTTAGCTCATGCTGATCACACCGATTTGCAGGCAGCTCCTGCTGCATGGTTTATGGTGCATACCTTTATCTAAGGAGTCTCTCAGCACCTCAGCGCCCCATCTGTCTGTCCCTCCCAGCCACTGTGCACTATCTGCCCGCTCTTCTGCAGCCCTTGCCGGAAGTTGCTGTAGTCCCACTGCCCCTACTGTAGCAGTGTGCACAAAAGTGTGCATGTGGGTGTGCATGCTTGTGCACATAGTGGAAGTCTCCACTCTTCCAGATTTGCAGAGGAGGTGGGAGAGGTATCCTAAGGATCCTGGGTGAAATTAGGAACGAGTTTTCACATTAAATGTTTATCAAAGCAGTTAATTTCTATGGAAATTTCAGCACCAAAGAGGGGTCTACCGAGAAGCAAAAAGGGGCTTAAGTCCACGACCCCTTAATCCAAGGGGTAATTGCATTTTTGTGTTCCTTATCTTGAAGATGACTCCCCAAATTGTAAATGCTTCAAACCCTACAAAACCTGGATTGTTTCTGGTCAGCACTGCTGTTTAATTACAGGATTCCTCTTGGGGACTTTTTGTAGTCTACCCTGAAAGCCTCACTACCATATAGAATGGTGCTTCAAGGAGTATCTACTGAGAAACAAACAACACTGACATACAACCTGCTCTCGGCCCTGGGAAGTTGTCTAGTCCCTAACTAGGTCCTTAATAAGTGTTTGGTGATTGAATAATAGCGAAATAAATGAAGGGAAGATGGATATACTTGAAGCACTTATCGAGTGCTTCTCACTGCAAGGTAGAATTATGGTGATTTTAATTTTCTTCATGCTCGGCTGAGTTTCTGAAATTTCTAAATACAGTTGACCCTTGCACAACACAGGGGTTAGGCGCACCCACCTCACACGTCAGAAAATCCACGTATAACCTTTGACTCCCCCCAAAACTTAGTTGTCTCTCAGTCTCTGGGGGGGATTGGTTCCAGGACCCCCATGGATACACCATCTGTGGATGCTCCAGTCCTCTATAAAATAGTGTAGATCAGTGCATCCAGTTGGCCCTTTGCTTCTGTGGACTCCCAACTATAGATCATCCGAAACAGGACGGGTATGTTTTGAAAAAAAATCCACATTTAAGTGGACCCACACAGTTCAAACCCATGTGGTTCAAGGGTCAACTGGATTCTACAATGAGTATGCATTACTTTGAATAATTGAAAGTGTGCTTTAAAAAGGCATGGTATAGATGTTCTTTAATGTATGCAATGCATGCATGAAGTGCCTGCTCTGTGGCCTTGTTAGTGTTTAGGATGTCGAGTCAAAGAAGACACACAGTGCCTCGCCCTCAAAAGAAATCTACATGCCAGTCACTGTTCCCAGCCCTGAAAGGATAAAATACAACACAGGCCAACATGTATAGAGCTTGGTCTATTCAGGGTGGGCTTTGTAGATGAGAGGAGAGGTGGGGAGACACACGAGCTTGCTACCCTTCAGGATCCTTTAGGATCGTATCTAGATACAGACTTCTTTCATTTTACATAGGAGTAGGTGTCAGGCACCGGAGAAGGGTTGACTACATTTGGGATGAACCCAGCAGATAGATTTCCCCTTCCCCTCAACTTTAAGAAGGAATGCAAAGAGAAAAAAAAAAGTCTACTAAATTGGGGGTTAAACTACATATCTGAAATAACAGCTGAGTTATGGAGTGCTTGCCATGTGTCAGGCATCATGCAAAGTGTTTTGCACATATTGCCACCTCATTTTAATTTCCTTTTACTTTCACAACAAGCTTATGAGGTAAGAGCTCTTCTATCATGAATCCCATTTTACAGACAAGAAAGAAAGGCTAAAGGAAGTGAAACAAGTGGCCTAATGTAAGAGATGGTGGCTGGCAGCCCCTGGCTGGAATCTTAATTAGCCCACTTTCCCTTCTTAACTACCCCTCTTCAGGAGGCTAGACTACAAAGAGTTCTGGTCCAAAAAGAAAAACAAACTAGAATACGGATAGCTTAAAAAATAGAATACAAGCCAGTTTCAAAAACAATGTGATACCAGCCTTTTAAATTGAAAAAAGGAGCCCACTGGAAAATCCTTTTTTTTTTTTTTTTCCCCAAAAGGCCGACTTCCTAGCCATTATGGGTGGTTATGAACTCATTTCACTAAACTAAATTATGAATTTGCTTTTCAGTTAAGAGTCTCATCATTGCCACAGCTCTGGTGTGCCCCTGTCCATTTTCTCACTTCCTCTCAGCTGAGAGTGAGAAATGATTGGATGGTGTGCAATCCGCGGGACCCAGGAGGCTCTTTCTGACCCTATTGTTTTCTTGGGTGTCCTCACCCTGGAGGCCTGACATTCCTCACGTGTCTAGGGCAATGCAGGCGCAGCGAAGCGAGGGGAAGCCACACAAAGGCATCCAACAGCTATCCACGCTGAAAGATCAATTAAGTGCACACACGGAGCACCCCATATGGCCGGGGAGAGGAGAAGAGAGCCTTTGCCCAGAGGGTGGGAAATTCACCCCCTGCGAGGATCCGCAAAAACGGAACAGATAAAGTGGTGGACGGTGATCTTTGTAGACCCCAGCCATCCCAGACCTGCCCAACTGGCGCAGCCTCCTCCCTTTAGTCCCCAGAGGCCGGGAGGGGCGGGGAGGGGCGAAGGGCGCCAGATCTCGGACCCAGGGTGCGCCCGTCACTTTCCCTCCAGTGCCGCTCGCACCGAGTGGCCGGTGCTTCATTCATCTCGCAGGAACCACCGCTCCAGGGCAGGGCGGAGGCGGTTTGGTGGCGGGGCCGGGGCCGCTGGGCTGCCAGGACCGCGAGGATGCCCGGCCTTCCCCCCGTCTTCATCCCGCAGCCACAACCTTACGGCGGGGCCCCCGGGCTGGCCTGGGTCTCCCGCAGACCTGGGCCCTGGGGCCCCTGAGCCGCCCCGCGGCTGCCAGGCCACCGCCCGGGTGACAGGCCCAACCCCGGCTTTAGCGCCGCGCGCTCCGCTCCCGCTGGCCCCAGGGCGCGCGCACACAAACCACAAACACAAACACACAGGCACACACGCCCGTCCTCGCCCCCCGCTCCTCCCCGCGGCCCTTCGCACCCCCGACCGTCCTCTCGCCGGGTCCCTTTCTCCCGTGCGCGGCGCCCTCGCGGCCTCCGCAGGCCCCTCCCCGGGGGAGGGGAGCCGGGCGCGCGGGGAGGGCCGGGCGGCGGGGAGTGTCTGGCTGCCCCCGCCCCTCGAGCGAGTGACTGGGCGAGGAGGTCCCCCTCCCTCCCCGGCTCCCTCCCTCCTGCTCGGTCCCCTCCCTCGCGCGCTCCCTGCCCACTCCCGGGGGCCGTGCCTGCCGCGGCCGCCGCTTCTTTCACACTTTAGTTGGGAGCCGCGCGCCGCGCTCAGTGACTGGCGAGCTGGCCGCGCGCCGCCGCCTCCCGCCTGCACGCACGCGGGCCCGGCTTCGGGGCTTTCGGCGGCTACTCCCGGCCGCGGGGCGGAGGGGGAGCCCGGGACCCTCGGTGGGCAGGCGGAGGAAGAGGAGGAGGAGGGAGGAAGAACCCGGCGCGGAGGCGAGGGGCGGGGGGCGGGAGGCTTGCCACCTTCAGCCCCCCCCGCGAGCGCCCAAGGTAAGCGGGAGCCGCCGCCAGCCCCGGGGCGGGGGGAGTGGGCGGCGGTGCGCGCCCCGTCTCGGCTCCCCGGCACGGCACGCCCGGGCGGGCGGGCAGGGAGGCCTGCGGGGTGTCTGCGGCGCCGAAGGGATGGGAGCCGCGGCCGTGGCGCTGCCCGCGCGCGGCCGGGCCGAGGCTGCCGGGGGTGCGGGGCTGGAGGGGTGGCCTGGGCGGAAGCCGGGGCGGAGGGCGCTGCAGGGGGCGTCTGCCGGCGGGGGCGGAGGGGTGGGATGCGGTTGGGGCTGCTGACGGCTTTCGTCACCGCGAGGCCTGGGTGGCTGGGGTGAGACACCCCTCCCTTTCTACTCGCACCCCCGCCGCCTTCAGCCTGCCTGCACCGCTCTAGCTTTGCATGTAGCCGTCGTACTTTGCCAGCCGGAGCCCGAAAGAAAATAACAATTCAGAATCCTCTGCCTGGTCCCCAAGCTCCTTCTCTCCCGCTGCGACTGATGGATGTGTGTGAGGGTGCCGTGATCCCGGCGTTTCTGAAGTTTTGACCTTTTGCGGGGTGGCTGGTCCCGGTGCATCTGTGTGCCCACCTCCATGTGTTTATTATTCGTGCCCCTGCGAGGCTGGCAGAGAGGGCTTGCTTATTGAGCGAGGAGATTTCACTGCTCCCTGCAGGCAGCTGGAGAAGTGCGCTGCTTGGCGGCCTTTGGTCGGCAGCTTAATGCCCTTCCTCTATCATCCACCAGCCGCCTCCCTCTACCGAGGGTTTTTATTATTATTTTTCCCCATTTACTGTTTGTGTGAGAGAAGTCCCTGGGCTTAAGGGCTCTCATCTCCTATTCAGTCCTTTCCCCAAGCTCGTCATTGGCTCAGGCAGGACGGTAACATTTGGGGCGGCTTGCGTTGCTCCAAGAGTTGCACGGCCAGAGATGAATTATGTATACACACAAACACGCATTAGTCCTGACAGATGACAAGCGAAGTGTGAGACAGAAATGTTTTGTTTCCAGTAGGAAGTTGAAGACCTATGTAGGAGGCATCTTCCATGCATGTGGGCTAGGACAAGTGTTTTAAAATAGACAGCGATTATGTTGTGTGTGGTTGGAAGACAGCCACAAGTTCAGCTCCCCGGGCAACTCTGAAAGTGATACACCCTGGTCACCTAGAACCTCGGTAAAGGCGGGCAGGCTCTGACTCAGACCTTGGGAAGGGGCTGACACACCACAGATTTCATGTAGAATTTTTTTTTTTAAGGAAACAGTATGGACCGTTTGGGGAAGTGACACCTTGGTTACACAGACAGATGTTATAAACACTTCCAGCAGTGGGCTCACCCTCTACTAATGAGAATAGCCGTTCAGCTGGCTGGACTCGGGATGTACCAGAGTAGAAAACAAATCCTGTGTTAACACGGGCCCGGCCTACTCTAGCTCTGTTGAGGGGAGGAGGTGATGTTTTTGAAAGGGTCTTTAAGTCCAAGATGCTCCATTTTCCGTTGTCTCCCCTTTTTCATGCTCCCAGAGCTGGATTGTAGCATCAGTAGAACATGTTTGCCCTGTGTTGCCTTTTTGGGAATGCAACTGATCCGACATGGAAATTAGTTTAGGCTTGATCACCTGGTTTTGTTGTGCTACAGCTGAGTGTAGTTGTCTGCGTTACACCGCTGCTGGGACCAGCACTTCACCAATCGCAACAGCCAGGTTGAAATTAACCTCCCCTCCTGGCGCCTGTGTGCAAACCGGATTCAGAGAAGGGCTGTGAAAGCTACTAGGAGAAGCAACAAAGACAGCAAACTCAGCACTTGGCTGAGTGGGTGCCGGAGGAGGGGTGGGGTGTACCTCTTGTCAAGCTTATTTCCATTCAAGCAGATTTCTGAGAAAACTGGCTTTGGTTGGTAGGGAGGTCTTAGAGCCATGGCCAAAAGTTTATCCTCAAAGACCCTGAGGTTCTAGCTTTCTACTTCAACACTGACTCGGTTTCACTGGGTGAGAGAACGGGTCGTTTGGTTTTCTTGGCTCGTAATTTATCCTTCAACCCCTTGTGTCTCCCCACCCCCATCTTACTTTATTGTGAAGCATGGATTTGGGGGGGTGACTAGGCCACCGCCTAAAGTAGTTTGAGCGTCTTGAAGAATCCCAGGGCGGAAATCAAGAGCTTGTTTATTCATTGGTACTATTTTCTCGGACTGATTCAAAAAACCTACCGAGGAAGAAAGTGGCTCACCCCATGAGGGGTGCCATTTCCAGGCGGATTGACGGGGCCTCCACACGGTGTTGGACTTTTGACCCTTCAGGCCTTGAGTATTACCTCCTGATCGGCCTGCTCCAGGCTCTTCGTGGCCCCCTTCCACGGGGTGTTTTCCTTCAGAGAATGGGACACCCGGCTGGGACAGGGAGGTATGGTACCTCCCATGAGGGGCAGGAGAGGGCGGGTGACTCATTCCCAGAGGGTCCTGAGTGGTAAGTATCCAGCTTCACTCAAACTTCTCAATACACCGCAGAGCCCCATGGAGCACAAACAAGGGCATTTGGGGCCATTTTATGGGCCTTCTTCGGAATTTTAGAAGTCCCATAGCATGGGAAAAGGGAATGTTGTGATTAATCGGGTTCTCGTTAAAACGTGGAAAGCGGAGCGCAGTGGATCCGTATGAAATGCTGCTCAGAAAACTGAGAAGACAGGACGCGCCTGTGTGCAGGGAGGCTTGCCACACTGGAACGGCGTTTGAACGCTGGTGACGGCGGTGACTCCCAGGGATCATCATGCAGGAGCTTATCTGAAGTGGCATGTAAATTACAGAGACACGTCTTTTTAAAGTAGGCAATTATTTAGCTTGACTATCTCAGTTCTGAAGTTTAATTTTACAAGTTACAGTTGCAACAAGAAACAACTTGACATGCTGTGGTTATGCAATTATGACAGGAGCGATTGGGCGGAAACTTGGCGAGGAGGCACGTAGCAGTCACCAGGTATTAAGAGGTTCCTTGACTTCTTAAAATTAAACATGTTCCCAGGTAATGTGGTCCCAGAGGAGACGGCTTTCCCAGTCTGAAATGGATACGGAGAAGACCCTCGGTGCAGCCCCTCCCCCGCCCCCACCCAGCAGCCACCACTTTGCCTGGTACTTGGAAGTCACCAAGTTCCAGGCAATGAGTGATTGAATGGAATGGAATTAACCTAATTAGTTAAAATCTAGAAGGTATTAAAAAAACTCCTTGGAAATGCATTAGATGTGAGCTCCCATTTTACTAAACCAGTAAGATGGTTTATTAAGAGCTCCATGGCACGTGCCTCAGGTAGGGTTTTAAGTGTTGAAAACTATGTGACAGGAAAGTAAACATACCAAGGGTCAGGTCCTCTCCAATTACTGGAATTTCTGGTTAGGGCATCTCGATTTGGAAGAGGTACAATAGCCATATTTGCCGAATATTTCTTCGTTCGCGGTTGTCACGCTGGCCTCACTCTTCTGTGTCTGAGGGACTCAGGGAATGACAGCGCCTCGTGTTTGCAGTGTGCTTTATGGTTTTCAGGATCCGTCCTGTCGCCTGTCTTACTGTGCTGCAGCCTCCGCACTCGGGGTCTTCCACGCGGGGGTCTCTTCAGGATCGGGGAGGGGAGGAGGGTCCTGGGACAGCGCAGGTAGCCCCACCTCTTGGTTTGTCAGATTTTCCCAAGAGAGGCTGTGTTCAGCAGTCACTGCTGTTCCCTCTACAGTAACTTAAAACAAGGAAAGGGAGCTCTGTCTCTTGCAGTGAGCGCCCCTGGGCTGCCCGCATCCTTGGCTCTGCCTCTTACTCTCTTCTCTCTCCAGCTGCTTTTACCTCTTATGCCTTAAGACGAGTGCCCCCTCACCTTCCTGTCCTTTCTGAAGGTTTCCCCTCGTTTTCTGTCTCACAGATTTTCACCATAGACCCTCCTGCTTCTTGGTCCCACTGCCTAACCGCTGCCTGCAAGGCTTGGGTTGGATGTGTCTGACTGATCTCCAGTTCTTAACCACATCTCCAGCCCCGTGTTCTCCGGGACTCCTCCCACCTCTCTGTCAAGTGTAGACTCCTGCCCTCAGGGCCCTCTACCTGCCCTACTTTGCCCCACACCCCCTATTACTCCCACTTCTCTCCATCAGGCCTTTAGATCTTCCAGGTGCCTGCCTCTGCCTGTTCCACAGGCTCACGCCCTCTCAGCAGGTGTGTTTAGAGTATTCATGACTCGAAGTCCACGTGCTTTGTACCTTGCAGAAAAAATGGAATTAGAGCACCCCCAAGTTCAGGGATCTATCTGCCTCTTTTTCCCCCCACTTTTGATTCTACTATATTGTTGGACTTTTTAAGGCCCTTTAAGCCATTTAATGATAGCTGAAGTACATTGCTTGTTTACTTCATTTAGCTATTCCATACTATGTTGGATTATAAATAAAGGACTAGCCCAATGATGATTGTTATTTTGAAAGATTTGGACAACAAGTCTTGAAAAAGCGTTTTATAGATTTTCATAATAGCACCATTGAAAAGGCTTTATTGCCCACCAAAACCTACTTACTAAACACAGAAGGGGAATGGTTTATTTAATTTCATCCTCATTACCTTGATTTTTTTTCTCCTTTGGTTAAATAAACGCTGGTTAAATAAATATGACTCTAACTTGAACCACATTTTTTTCTCATTTGTTGTGGTTTTACTGCACGCCATGAAAATTTTATAAGCTCACGGGACACATTTATGCCAAACAGTGTTATACCTAACAGCGTTGGTTTTCCCTGTAAGTTTGTGGTCTATGTTGGCCCCTTCAGTAGGGTCAGTGGGAGAAAAAAATATTAAGCTGAGGACCACTACTGGCAAAACATATCCTATGGACTCGTTGCATACAAAGTTGAATTGGTCTTTTATAAAACTGTACTTCAACAGTAGACCCAACATTGGTTGTGCAATATCCTGAGTGCTCTAGGGCTTTGGGAAGAAGGAGCTTCAGAGCAGAGCAGGAAGAATGGCTTTTCAGTAAGAATTCCCTTTCTCTGA